ATAAATTTACCTAGCCAGCCATCCAAAAATCTGTATAACAACTCCACTCTAACTCAAGAAAAACTTAGGGAAAGTATTTAAGTTTGATTCATGATTTGGGAAAAAAAATTAAGATATTGTTATCAAAAATGTGAAGGAAATTCACAATGCAAGCATAAAAAACCCTAGTTGAGAACTTCCAGATTCACATCTATAACTCTGTGCCTAAAACAGTAACTGGCACATAGTACACACTTTATAAATATATATTGAACTGAACCAAAGAAGGCAAGACAGATGCTTCCTGCACTGTGGAACTGTAGTTAGGTTGATATCATGTCCAGCAATTGGCCAAGACAAGAGTGTAGAATATAGGAAAGAGAAGAGACATGTCAGATTAGATGGGCCCAAGAGGAAGGCCCAGAAGTAACAAAACGAAAGGGGAAAGTTAGCCAATATTCAAACTTGTCATATGTTCACATGATAATGAGATGAATGAGATGAATGAGATGAATCTAGAAAGGCCTATATTGAATGACAGTCTCATATAAACTCCTAGGAGGTAGAGGCAGTACTTTATGTAAGGATTTTGAAGTTTTTAAAACTAGCACATTACAAATAGCTAACAGTTGTTAGCAACCAACTAAGATTCAAATGTGCTGAAGGAAATTTTTCCTTGGTTTGAAAAATATATTTCAGAAATATAATCAGATCATATAAGGTAGTACTTGTCAACGGGGGATTCAAAAACCACATCCATGGTGATCACTTGTGGCCTTAGTAAAATGTGCATATTCAAATCCCACCAAAGACCTACAAAATCAAAATTGGGGAATGGGGAAGATGGAGAGGAAGCACTAAGAATCTGCATTTTTAACAAGATCCCAAGTGATATACATCAAAGTTTAAGGCCTTTAATATAATATATCTCTAATTATATGGTTAGTAAGAGAAAGAGATTGCATCTTTTCTACTCTTAACTTTCAATTCTTTCTATTGTTTCCTTATTTCCTAAAGACTTGTGCTCCCACACTCTTACTCTCACTAATTAGCCATTTTTCCTAGTTCTAATACAGTATTTAGAACCTTCTTCTCCTATTCTCTAGTGCATAGCTCACTCTCAAACTAAAATATAATAATAGCTTTTTCTGTATTGGAAATAATCTACCATGCTATGTATATAAAACCAATTCTGATTTAAAGAAATATCAAACCAATTTGGTAACCAATGAACC